AACAGGAGAGGTAAAGGGGAGAAGCATGGATCTCCCTAGGAAGGGGAAACAAAGAGTGAGCTAGGAGTGGGTGGGGATGGGAACAGGAGAAATCAGGTACAAGGAGGGATGGAAGGAGAGAGTACTGGGAGAGATGACTGGAATTGGGGGGCATTTCAGGGGTGAGTAGAAACCTAGTACAGTGGAAACTTCCTAGAATCTATGAGGATGACCCTAGTGAGGATTCCTAGTAAGGGAGGAAACGGAGTATGAACTGACCATCTTTTATAGCTAGGCAAGGTTTCCAGTGGTGGGACTGGGTTACATTTGGTTGAGCTGTTGGCTAGGGAGGTCCCAAGAAGATCTCTAAACAACCCAGGCTAGGACAGAAGGTTGCCCTCTGAACACTGACAACATGTGTGTGTGGTGATATTTTATTTGTGCTGAAATGTGGTGATATTTTATTTGTATGTTAATAAATAAAGTTTGCCTGGAAATCAGGTAGCATAAGCCCTTAATCCGATCACTTGGCAGACAGGGTCTCTGTGTGTTCAAGGTCACACTAGGGACAGAGTCAAGCGTGGTACACTCCTTTAATTCCAGCACCAACCATACAGACCTGGAAGTCTGTACAGACAGGCAGTAACAAGGAAGTGAGGTAGCTGGGCTAAGAGCCAATGAGAGGGAAGAACAGCAAGGCAATAAGGTTTGGATAGACAGGAAGTAGCTCACTTTTGGGAGATGCAGAGCTGGTGAAGTAAGGTTGGTGGCTCTCACTATTTTCCTGATCTCTAAAGCTTTCACCCCTATATTTGGCTCCGTGTTTTTTATTTATTAAGACCGTTTAGAAATTTGTCTACATTTGTGTGGGGGGGGCATTGCTGAAGACAACTGCCACTCAGCTCACTGAACATTGTACTGACTACTCTTATGTCAATTTGACATACAAACTAGGGGTACCTGAAAGGAGGAGACCTTAATTGAGAAAATGCCTCCATGAGATCCAACTGTAAGGCATTTTCTCAATTAGTGATCAATGGAGGAAGGCCCAGCCAATGGTGGGTGGTACCATCCCTGGGCAAGTGGTCCTAGGTTCTATAAGAAAGCAGGCTGAGCAAGCCAGGGGAAGCAAGCCAGTAAGCAGCACCCCTCCATGGCCTCTGCATCAACTTCTGCCTCCTGGTTCCTGTCCTGTTTGAGTTCTTGTACTGACTTCCTTCAGTGATGAACAGCAATATAAAAGTATAAGCCAAATAAACCCTTTCCTCCCCAACTTGCTTTTTCATCATGGTATTTCATCAAAGCAATAGTAACCCTAATGAAGACAAATGTAGAGAGGTTGAGCTGGTGCAGGCTTGGAGCCTTTACCCCTACATTCTAGTTTCTGGTGTGAGAAGGTACTCTACAGAGTATGGAAAGAGAAACCTGGATACCAACTCACTCATAAAACCCTCCACCTACAATCTGTCCTGCCTGCAAGATGTGCTGAGGCAATGGTGGCACAGAACATGTGGGAGTGGCCAACCAATGTTTACTCTAACTTGAGGCCCATGCCATGAGAGGGAGTTTATGCCTTGTATACTGCATGGATGGCCAGGAACAAGAGACTGGATAGTCCAGAGACATAGGGTAGAACCAAACACAACTAAGAAAATCAATTAAATGATTCCTAATGATATTCTCCTATAGTCATAGATCGATGCCTTGTCCAGTCAACATCATACAGGCTTCCTCTGGCAGCAGATGGGAACAGGTGCAGAGACCCACAACCAGACATTATGGAGGAAGAGTCTAAATTGGAGATCTCTTTTGGGTCCCTCTCCTTGGAGATGGGAACCCCACAGAAGTGGGGGGGGGCTGTATGAGTCATAGGGAATGGAGGACATGGCCCCCTGAATCAAGTAAGCAGGGCTCACAATTACAGAACCTGCATGGGTCTGCACTAAGTCCTCTGTGTGTATGTTATAAAGGTGAGAGGGGGTGTATCTCTGACTCTTGACTTCAAGCTCTTAGGACTCTTTTCCTCCTATTGGGTTGCCTTGTCCAGCTTCGATAAGAGAGCTTTCGTGTTGTCTTATTGTATCTTGTTTTGTCCTGTCTAGTTTTGTCTCTTGGAGGCCTGCTCTTTTCTGAAGAGGAAACGGAGTGGCGGTGAGCCTGGGGGAGAGGGAAGGTGGAGGGGAGGTTTGTATGAAAGAAGACTCTGTTTTCAATGTTTAAAAAATTTAAAAAAAGAAGTATTTTCTATAGGCACTCATAATTTCCACCCATCTCTTCCTTTTCCAGATCTAATAGGAATCAAACATACTTTTAAAAGAGTTTCTCTGTACATTTTTGTTGACTTCTAGTTAGCTTGCAAGAATTTGGAAAAGCAATTTCCATTCTATGAGTTCTATTTGTTGACTAAAAAAAAACCAAATATTAGCATTCTAAAAATATTTTAATCTTCTAGTAGCTAGATTTCACACCTTGATATTGACCTGTCACCAAGCAACAGAAATCCATATTTTTGAAGGGCTGGAATACACTTTAAAAATGAATCCTAATGTAAATGTCAGTACTGAAGACTCCTCCCTTTAGCTAGACTAATTAGTCATGTTCTAACCTGCCCTCTTCAATTCTCAAGAAAGTCCAGAAAACCATCTGCCTTTTACTTATTAACAAGGTACTTATATTCAGCTACTAAAGAAATAAAGACCAATTCACTAATGTTGCCTTGCATAAGAGCTCAGAATCATCTTTCTCCTTAATAATTTGTATGTAAAAGATAATCCAGCAACCAACATGGTGCTAAAATGAACACAAAAGTTAAAAATTTCAACATTAGCTACCAAATTAATTTCTAATATTGTCCTCTATTCAGCTTAAACCAATACAGTGAAGTATAGACTCATGATTTGTTGCTTAATAGGATTTAAGGACACATTTATTTCAGGAATAGGTCAGATTAAGTGGGAGAGAGAGCTCAAAGCTGAGAAAGGAGAAGTGAAAATGAAGAGTTGGACTATGGTTTTACTTTTGTTTTTCAATTGCTTACTTTTTCTTTCCATTTACTTTTGTATAGAACAAAATTTCTGCCCTCTGTTTCTTTGGTAATCTACTTAATTTGTAATCTTTCGACTATCATCTCTTTATTTCTCCAACTCTGGCCTGCCTCCTGAGCTTGCCCTGCAATTTGTATCACTGAATGCACTGCTCTCTATCTAGATGTTCTGCTAGTATCTTAGCATGTCCAAAAGTGAAATCTTCATTCTACAAACAAGATTTGACTTACTATCTGCTTCTGTGGAAAGCATTACCATTCTTGCATTCCTGGCATCATCTTTGAATTTTACTCTGCTTTCACTCCTAATAACCAATCTGTTGCTATGTCTTAATTCTATGTCACAACATCTCTGGTATCTTTCCCTCCCACAATCACTTTTCTACTATAACTTCTATAGTCTGCTGTTACTTCTTACCTACACTGGTCTCATAATTAGTTGATAAATATTTGCCATATGAAGGCATAAAATGGATGGATGGTATGTATCCTTTAGAGTAGATCTTTTACTGCTTTAATCCACCTTCTACAATAGAGCCAGATTAACTTCTTTTTTTTTGTTGTTGTTTTTGTTTTTCGAGACAGGGTTTCTCTGTGTAGCTTTGTGCCTTTCCTGGAACTCGCTTTGTAGACCAGGCTAGCCTCAAACTCACAGAGATCCGCCTGCCTCTGCCTCCCAAGTACTGGGATTAAAGGCGTGTGCCACCACCGCCCGGCCCAGATTAACTTCGTAAAGCATACAGAAGTTAATAAAACCATATTAGTGTGTTACTCAAAATCGAAGCTCTTATTTTTCACTTATATTAATTTCTTGCTTTATGGTGAAGGTATTTCATGTTAGGAACTTCCATCTCTCTAAACTTACTTCCAATTACTCTGAAGTATCATCCTTTCAATGGAGACAAGATGGGCTATGCACTTTTCCACATATACTATATGTTCTCACTGGGCCACTGTTCAAATTATCTCTACTTCTCTAACGATAGGACTTATATAGGACAACTATAAAGGTATCATTTCCTCAGCAAAATCTTTCCTGACTCCTCACCATGGTGGTTCCTCACATCTTTCCTCTAAAACCCCACAATACTTGAATAGTACTTCTTTAGATCATTTATGACCCATCGTGTCTCATAGAAATAAAATAAAATTTGCCTTACCCCTATATGATTTGAGGGAAGAAATTTCCTTTATCTACAGTCTCATTTATATTTGAATACCTATACTTTGGTTTCTCTTCAGATTGTATGAATCTTACCTTTTACATTTAAATATCGTACAGTGAATACCAAAAACAATATTTTGTATATGTTCTCAAATATTTTGGGGCAGGGGAAAGATTGAGCAAATAAAAGGACATATACATTTAAAACTGAGAGGGGTCTCTAAAATATCTTGAGGGTCTGTATACTGAAAGCACTCAGGTTTTTGTGGCTCTTTTTTTTTTCTTACAATTTATTCTTTTTCTCATTGAAGTTCCTATTTGGCACTTATGGCTACAGATGTACAATTATCAGAAATAGGTTTAAAATAAGCACCAGCAAGGCTCTCAGGAACTTCTTTTAAAAAGTTCCGTATGCTTTCTTTTTTTTTGGTTTTTCAAGACAGGGTTTCTCTGTAGTTTTGTGCCTTTCCTGGAACTCACTTTGTAGCCCAGGCTGGCCTCGAACTCACAGAGATCCTCCTGCCTCTGCCTCCCAAGTGCTGGGATTAAAGGCGTGCGCCACCACCGCCCAGCTCCGTATGCTTTCTTATAACCAATGTTTCTGCATCTTATACACTTGTTTTAGGAGTGGATTCCATTAAGTTAACACAAACTTTTGATTCAGAAAAAATATATCAGTATCATACAACTTCTGCTCAATGAATGAAATGATTATGTAAACTAATGAAAGTCCTAAAAGTTGGCCATGTTCCACTGACAGTAACTTGCTTACTAGAAAAAGTTACAGTATATTTTAACAAAGCATATTCTTACCTTTGCACCACCCAAAAATCCCAGGGAGATAGCAACTCTGGCTCGTAGATCTGGCCTGTCTTTGGGCCACACATAAGAAAGCATTGCTTTAATGATTTTTCTAGTATCAACATCTTTTAACTGTGGAAAGAGAGAAAACAAAGTAGCAAGTAGGAAGTAATACCATTTCAAATGTAACTAATTTCCCCTAAATATATTATAATAAAATTATTACAGTGTACTCATTCATTCATTCATAATTGTGGGGGTGGGGTGGTGGTGGTGATGGGTGGGTGCATGCAAGGCAAAGCATGCATGTGGAGGTCAGAAGACAATTTAAGAATCAGTTCTTTATTTCTACCAAGTGGGTCCCTGGAATTGAACTTAGGTCCTCAGGTTTGGCAGCAAGTGCCTTTACCCACCAAGCTCTCACTAGCCACAACCAAACTTTAATATTGTAGAATTATATAAATATCTAAGAAATACATGAAAACATTACAAACATAACTCTCATTCTGAATCTAAGGATGACTCCAGCCAAGATTCCTAGCATAAGCAGATCCATAGCCTGAACTGGCCATCTCCTACGAGGAGGCAAGACTTCTAGTGGAGGGAATGGGAAACCAATCCAGCCATATAACCTTCAACCTACAGTCTGTCCTGCCTATGGGATGTTCCACGGTAAGAGTGGCCTAGAGACTGAGGGAGTAGCCAACCAATGACCTGCTGTGGAATAATCCTCTTGTACACTGTAAACATTTGTCAATCGAATTTGTTTAATAAAATGCTGATTGGCCAGTTGCCAGGCAGGAAGTACAGGTAGGGCATGACTGGTCTAGCCTAAAACCCATGCCAGGAGAGAAAGTCCACCCTTGATACTGCCTGAAGCACCAGGACCCACAGGCTGGATGACCCAGAGACCTAGGACAAAACCAAACATGATTAGAGAAAAAAATGTCAATGTAATGATGCCTAACGATGCTCTGCTATACACATAGATTGGTGCCCAGCCCAGTAGTCATCAGAGAGGCTTCATCCAGCAACTGATGGAAACAGATGTAGACTCACAGCCAAACATTAGGTGTAGCGTGGGGAATCCTTCAGAAGAGGGGAAGAAAGAATTGTAGGAGCCAGAGGGGTCAAGGACACCACAAGAAAATGCATAAGAATCAACTAACCTGGGCTCAAAGGAGCTCATAGACACTGGACCAACAACCAGGGAGCCTGCATGGGACTAAGCTAGGCACTCTCCATATATGTTACAGTTGTGTAGCTTGATTCTTTTTTGGGACTCCTAACAGTGGGAACAGGGGCTGTCTCTAACTCTTTTACTGGCTTTTGGGACCCTACTCCTCATACTGGGTCACCTTGCCCAGCCTTAATACATGGGGAGGTGCTTAGTTTTACTGCAACTTGATATGCCATGTTTTGTTGATATCCATGGGAGGCCTGTCCTTTCCTGAACAGAAAGGAAGAGTGGATTGGGGAGTTGGAACAGAGTGGGTTTAGGGGTGGGTGGGGAACTGGGAGGAAAGGAGGGAGAGGAAACTGTGGCTGGGATGTAAAATACATAAATATTTTGGAAAAAAAAGAAACAAGCTCAATTGCTTTTTCAATGTTACTCATTTCTGAACTGGGGCTGTAGCTTAGTTGGTTGAATTCTTGACTAGCATGAAGAGACCCCAGATCTGATTTCCAACACCACATAAAATTGGGCATAGTGGGCCAGGCCTATAATCTCAATTCCAGCATTCAAGATGTGAAAGCAGGAAGATCAGAAACTCAAGGTCATCCTTGGCTACACATCAAATTCAAGGCCAGAACCCCAGCCCAAACACAAACATTTTAATCATTTTTCTTCAACTTCTTACTTTCATCTATTGTCATTTGCATACTGCTAAAAGAGTTATTCAGTAGTAGCATGGGAACATGAGCCATACATATTTTTTTAACTATTAAGAAATAAAAACATTACAGAAGCCTTAAAATAGTTCTATAATCCCATCTTCTTGGTGAACTCTGCATTCCTAAATCCAAATTCATCATAGGGCAGACTTAGAGTATTGCATTTAGGAAAGCAGGATTCTTGGTATTGACAATACCGTAGCAATTTGAGATTATTTAAAATGTCAACCATTTTTTTTTGGTTATGCTTAATCTGATCCAAATAGAGCTCACATTTATCTTTTTCATGTTTCTAAGACAATATTCTCATTAAGTCTTTGGTTTTGGTTTCAGCTTTAGGGACAGAATTTTAAGAATCAAATTAATATTTTCGTGTGTGTTGTAGGCCCAGATGCATGCATGGGTGTGTGTGCTTGTGTACCAATGTGTAGAGGCCAGAGGAAGTTGTCTAAATCTTCCCCTAACACACACTGCTTTATTCTTTTTGGGTAAAGTCTCTCTGTAAACCTGGAGTTTACTTTTTTTTCTTGTGTTTGGTAGCTGGCATTATCCATCAAACCTCCTGTCTCTTCTCTCCATAGCACTGGGGGATACAGAAGCAGGCCTAAGGATACATGGATGCTAAGATTCAAACTCAGGTCTTCATAGTTGTAGATCAAGTGTTCTTAACGACTAAGCTATCTCTCCAGCCCTCCAAGTTCATACTTTCTGAAACCAAAATAAGGAGATAATATAATAATTTTCTAAAATTACTATATTAATATAGTTGGTGAAATAATCCCCATTCAAAAATAAAATAATAGCTCAATGTCTAGAAAAGAAAAAAGATGTTCTTTACTGGTAAGGGTATACAGCAGTGAGCACTAAATACACTATTAGTGGGGAAAATGCTGAAATAATATATCTGGAAAGCAATTTCATATCTAACACAAGTTTTTAAAGTAATTTTGTCCTTTGTGCCCAAAAATCCACTTCTGAGAACTTCTGCTAAAAATAATCTGAACACTGTGTTCCAAGTTGAATCTGAATCTATTTTACCTGAAAAATCTCTTGAATCTGTCAAATTATTTCCATTTCCAATCACTAATATAATCCAAGTTATCATTCTTACCAAAACAAACAAACAAACAACACAGTAGCAGCCTCCTAATTTACCTCCCTGTATTCACTCTATTCCCTATCTAGTATATTCACCCTACAATCCAATACCCCTTTAGCTCAAAACCCTTAAGCAGTATCCTATCATTCTTGAACTAAAAAAAAGTCCTCAACATAGCATATAAGGCTCTGCTTAGCCTGGAATATAGCCATGTCTTATGCTATTATTACTATTATTTTCAGTGTTCAATAAGTACTGGCCTACTGTTAGTTCCCTAAACATATTTTTGTATAACTGTGTTCTGTGTCTAGAAAACCCTCCTTAAAACAATTCATTCCTATGCCCCCAACACCCCAGGTCTGTAAACCTGTTAACCACCTTCAGCAACACAGAAGCATTTGTTCAATGAAGTTATCTCTAACACCAGTCAGGATCCCTTTGTTTCTGTTTTCTCTTATAGATCATGATTCCTCTTAGAGTTTCTACTTCAGTCAGAAACTACATATATAGCAAGATGGCTCATTGGGTAAAGACACCTGCCACCAAGCCTAATGAAGTGGGTTTGATCCCTGGAATCTACATAGTTAAAAGAGAATCATCAACCTCTGCAAGGTGTCCTTTGATCTTCACAGAGGTACCATGGCATGCAAACAAACAAACAAACAAATAAACATTTTTTTTAAAAGTCATCCCTGGTTACATAGACCCAGTAAAAAAGAAGGAAGGGAAGGAGGAAGGGAGACTAAGAGGGATGGAGGGAGGGAAAGGTAAAAACACAGAAAGAAAGAAAAAAGAAAGAGAGAAGGAAAGGGGGAAGAAACTGCTCACATGAGTGTGTGTGTGTGTGTGTGTGTGTGTGTGTGTGTGTGTATTCCAACAAGGCCACACCTCCTAATAGTGTCACTCTGTTTGGAGGCCATTTTCTTTCAAATCACCACAAATATCATGTATTTTATCAAATGAATAATTTAAATTTAAATGTGTTATGTGAGTATAGGTCTATACATATGGAAGCAGGAGAATTGCTTGGTGAAAGGAAAGGAACCAGTGAGGGGGGAAGAGAAGTTGATATTGAGCAAGTACAAGCCATGTACAGTGAGATAAGTATATGAAAATTTCATAATAAAACATTATTTTGTACGCTGAGTAAAAATAAAATTTTAATTAAAAAAGAAAACTTTACATCAGAGTTAACTAAAATTTTAAAAATAGTGAATAAAGAAATAAAAATTTGGCTATAACGATGTTTTTGCCTGGGCTGTTTTAATAGAAACAAAATTAGAAAATAATACCCCAAACACATTAACAATAGTAGCTTGAGTAAAGAGAATAACTGATAAATTTATATATTCTTACTTGTTTATATTTTAATTCATATATAATTAAAAAATTAATTTCAAAAAGGGGAAAGTTATACAATTTAAAGTAAATTTGTACAGCAATGAGTGGGCAGAAGTTAACATACAACAAAGCCAGAACAGTACATCATAAAACACAGGGTACTTTTTATGTTATGATCAACCTCATAAAGCTCAGCAAACTACTTTGCTTGTGTTTTAGGCAGTTTATTGTGCAGAGTAACAGAAAAAAAACTGCTCGTATTATACAAAAACAGAAGGACTGTCATCTTGAGCTGTTTCAAATTCTTAACATGGCAAGAATATGAAATGCCAAAAGTCTAGTTCCTATGTTTTATTTTACACATACACACATACTCATAACTGGTAAGGCATTTTAAAAAGGAATCTGGCAGTAATTTTAAAATTCACTTTTTCCAATCGAACAATCACAAAATAAATATAATTTAATGCATTATAACATAAACTGGGGCATTTCAACCACTTTCCTATTTCACAAGTTTTGTCTGCCTTCTTTTTCTTGATGGAGTAATGGAAAAAAGGCCCTGTTTCCACATATCTTTAGAAACATTCCCTCCTGTCAAAACCTTCTACAACACACCCCAGAAATTTTTCAATAAGGACACAGAGAAGTTACGGCTAAGAGCAAGAAAATTATTCTAGTTGGCTTAATAGTGCATAAAATGTCACCACTTCATTTAACAAAATGGGTTCTGAAGTTGTGTAATCATGCATTATGAGTCCATTAAGCTGTAAAGGACATGACTTCAGTTAGAGTT